ATTCAATATTATACCATATTATACCATGTAGTATTATTTCCAACAAAGAAGTATGTATGGCACTGCACTACCATAGCATACCATACCTTACTATATGTCATTAATAAATTAATTTTTATTAAGAAATTTACTTACTCTGAGGCAATTCTTTTGTCTTTGCACCTTATGTACTCAAGGATGTCGTTGAAGACTTCATCAAGAGTTGTTTGTGTTGGTGTAACCATCATTGCAATTGGGATGGCATCTATGGCACCATATTTTACTTCAAATGGTGCATTTGCTACTGATGAGCTCATTCATGGTATTCGTTGTGAAACTGGTGTGTTCAGGGTATCAATGTAAGCAGTCAGGCAGAAATCTATCTCCAGTAGCCTCTCTTGGTTGTTCGAGTTCAAGTTTAACCATTCAATGAATGGTTGATTCTGCAACTGTGGGATTGTTGTGTCTTTTGGTGGGGTTGATGTTTTTGCTTTCTTCTCTAATCCATACACATTCTTCACCAATATCCTTCTTTTGCGCGGTTCTTCTGGTTGTTGTGATGCTGCTGTTGTGGTGATGTTGATATTTGGTGATGGTGATGGGTGATTGAGTGGCTGATGTCAAAAGATGGTATGCCACTGTCCTTTGCAACCTTGGGGTTTCCTGCAGTCTTTAGTGGTGGTTTTATAGCTTCTTCTTCATTGTTCTTCACATGTTCTCCCTTCTTTGAAACAAGCACATCTGACTGTGTCTTTTCACTATCATCTCCTTCATGATCTTGATGCATGTCACTTCCCTTTCCTTCATCTCCTTTTTGTTGCCCTCCTGGTTTACATGCTCTGGAACTTACTTTCCTTGGTTCTTCTCGGCAGTTTCAGCAGGATTCTCTATTGTTGGTGCTTCTGATTCTTTTGAAGAACCATCTTGATTTTTTTCTTACATTGTGTTGGTGCAGCTAGATCAACTGTTGTTTGTTGAGAATCATCATTTTCTTCATATTCATAGACTGTGTTTGCTTTCCTTTTGCTTGATTGTGCATTGTCAAAAATTCTCTTCGGAGTTTCTTCCAGGTTGGTGTCTGCTTCTTTATCTTTATCTTTATCTTCATCTCCAGATTCAGTTCTTTCATTTTGTTCGACAATCACGTTATTAGATCTTTCTCCTTCTACACCATCAAAGTTTTCATCAGAAGTTTGTTGCTCCAACTTTTCCTTGTGTTTGACAAGCTCATCAATTTGAGCTTTGTATTGCATCTTGATTGATTGCAACATAGCTTTAATTGCTGTTTTCACTAGATTTATTGTTTTCTCAGCCCGCATTAGTGATTTTTGGTTTGTAAGTTAATATTTACAGTAGAATACCACATGTTACCATGGTGGTAATGGATGGTATGTCCATTATACAGTACAATATCATATGTTACCGACATGGTTCATGTGTGGTATTAGTTATATGAATTGCACAATTGTAACATAGGGTAATTTATTCTTATTTGGGTGATAGTCTTGATCATCTTCAAATCAAATATGAGTGATGTTGATGGTTGTTGGTCTGTGTTGTTGTCATCATCATCATCATTGTTGGTGCCATTGATCTTGTCTTCTTTATCCTGTATCTTCATCAGCTCATTAATTACTTCTCCACTGTATTAGCTGATTATGTTTTCAAAGTTTCTTTGCACAACAAGGTCATCGTGATAGCTTGTTGCTGGGATTTGAAACTGGGTGGAGAAGGCAATTTCATCCAACTTGTACATGAAGCATACCTTTTATTTGTTTGTGGAAAGGAGAAACAGTTGTATTAGTTTTTTTAAGTACTAGGATTGGTAATGCTTTGGGGTATACTAATTGAAATGAAATTATTGAGGGTATAGATACTTACTGTTAAGAAATGAAGATCTGCATTGACGTATAACTTTCTTGATTTCAACCCCTCATTCATATAGTCGAAGAAGAACTTGCACCAGTTATATTTTTTGAAATGCTTGATTTTTCTTTGCTGCAAGTACTCAACCATAATCAACTCAGCAGTAGGTTTTGAAAATGGGGACAGTGAACCTCCAGTAACTAGCAACCAGAACAGTTTGATCCATATTTCAATGGTACGAGCTTGAGAAACGTCATGCTCTACGTTCACCCTTGCATTTGCATCTGGAAGTTCTAGTTCTAGTAAAACTTGTAGCACATAGTCTACTGCTTCGTCCATTGATAATTTCTTGAGCGTCACTTCCTTTTACCCATTGGTAGACCATAAACTCTATGAAAGTCAATTGGTGATATCTTCATGTAGTTTCCATCAGGCAGTTTGAATGATTGCTTTGCTGGATTGTACTTGCTCATTGTGGATAGAGCAAAGTTCTTGTCTATCTTTGTTTGGTGGATGGCTGTTAAGCCGTCAAGGCATAGGGGTGGGCAATGGAAAACTGGTATTTGGATATACTCATATCTGTCCCTTTTTTTTAGGGTTACGGGTACCCAAATACCCGTTTGTTTTTAACGGGATGGGATTTGGGATCAATGATTTCTACAACGAGTACCCACGGGTTACCCGTTAATACCAGTTTGGGTAATACGAGTACCCGTTAGCAAAAATTCCTACAATAAACATTGCATAACCAACCCCAATCCCCCAACCCGAGCCCAATTCCACCCCACCCCCACCCATGCATACGATTGATTGAACCATAAATCCAGCTGGTGGTTCATTTCATTTCTCATTCCACCCCTTTCCAGTGTAAACTATGCTTCCTCCCTTTGTTTAATCAATTCAGCACAACATGATTCTGCGTTACACAGACACTAAATGACTACTGAAAGCAAAAAGCCATGTCCATTCTATTTCACACTATATCTCTGCATCTGTCGTGTCGAACTAAGATAGGTTGTTCAATAGTATCCGTTAACCCTAATCTGAACTTCTCGGCCTTATAATTATCACTAAATGACTACTGATACATCCAGCTTCCGAAAGAATCCAGTGTTATGCATGTTCATTGAACTGAAATTCACACGTTCATTGAGCTGTACGTTAGCTCTACAGAACTTTTCCCTTATCATTTGGAGGGGTATGTACGAGTAGTTTGGGTACCCGTTATCCGTCCCATACGGGTAACTAGTACTCGTTAACCCTTATGTGTTTGGGATATGGGATGCACTTTGCTCTTCGAATGGGATTGGGTACCCGTTTCAAACGGGACTGGGTTGCCCATCCCTCTCAATGCCTAATTCCTGCATTTTTCCCCTTTGTTAAGCTGTTAATGCCCTTGACAGTGTGTTGATTCTTGTTGGGCTACACCTTGTGCGAAAATCGTCCCTTGGTTTTGACATGATGTACCTGAATATAGAATAGAAGATTTGCTATATCATACCATACCATATTCTACCAGTAAGCAATACAACGTACAACACATCAAGGGTTATTGAATAGGTTTTCAAGTGATCTTACCTCACCATACCATATGGTATTATGATAAATGGAAGCATAGCAGCCGTTTTTTGCGGTTTTTTATACATTTTTTGAAAATCTTCTTCATTGTAAGTGCTTTGAGCACTACTCGAACAATTACTCCTTATTATACCAGAGAAATTTTACAATGCTATATAGTATTGGTGCTATAGAATTTTGCCTTTATGGTACAACTTAAAATTGTACATTTACGTTATGGTACAACTTCAGATTGTACCTATACTTTTTGTACAAATTCTTTTATGGTACAACTTGAACTTGTACTTTTATGTGATGGTACAACTTCAAGTTGTAAAGTTGTACCATAACATAATGGTACAAATTGCTTTATGGTACAACCTAAACTTATACATTTAATGTTATGGTACAACTTTAAGTTGTACATTAAAGCACCAATACTATATAGTATTGGTGCTATAGAATTTTGCCTTTATGGTACAACTTAAAATTGTACATTTACGTTATGGTACAACTTCAGATTGTACCTATACTTTTTGTACAAATTCTTTTATGGTACAACTTGAACTTGTACTTTTATGTGATGGTACAACTTCAAGTTGTAAAGTTGTACCATAACATAATGGTACAAATTGCTTTATGGTACAACCTAAACTTATACATTTAATGTTATGGTACAACTTTAAGTTGTACATTAAAGCACCAATACTATATAGCATAGTAGAAGTGCTCATTATACCATATGGTACCAGTGTGGTATTATGAAAAAATGAGAGCATAACATAGGTTTTTTTGTCATTTTTATACTTTTCTATAAAATGTATTTCACTGTAAGTACTTTGACCACTACTCGGACGGTTTATCCTTATACTAGCATATGGTATCAGTTTGGTATTTTAAAAAAAATCAGAGCATAGCATAGGTTTTTTTTTGTCGTTTTTATACTTTTCTATAAAATGTTTTTCACTGTAAGTACTTTGACCACTACTTGAACGGTATCTCCTTAGAATACCATATGGTATCGGCGTGGTATTGTAAAAAAATTAAAGCATAGTAGAGGTTTTTGTTTGGTTTTTTATCATCTCTTTAAAACAGTATGGTTAACATTGTGCAAGAACAAAAATCTAGTGGTGAAAACGATTTGCACTGTGAAGTCTGTACTTGAAATTAGACATTCAGAATCACGAATCTAGATTTTGAAGAAAGAAGTGATGATTTACCTTGATCGTTGAAGATGTCGAAGTTGGAAACCCTCACTTGATCGCTGAAGAACTGAGATCAGTATCCTTTGCTAACGTTATGAAAATTCGAGTTTGCAGTTTCTCGTCAGTATTCTTTGTGAGCGGAGATAAAATGTGAGAGAGAGAATGTGTATCGTAAATGGAGAGAATGTATAACATAAATGCAGAGCGAAAAAGCAGAGATGGAACGCGAACCGTCTGTTGATGCTTTTTGTTTTTGCAGAGTTGGTGATGATGATGGCTGGGAAGGGTCGCGTCTTCCTTTTTCAAATTGTCAGAAGGATTGTCAGATTACTATTTTATCACTGCGTGTATTTAATATCCCACATCTGAAGATCATGGACAGCGAATCCATTGGTTACTGACAATTACTTACTGATGGAATCTGGACCCCTTCCCTCTTCTCCCTCTCTCTCAAGTCTCACCTTCATCCTGTCTCTATTTTAATTCCCATATCCGAACCAGCGCTATATAACCAATACCTTTCCACTCTAGATCTTGTCGTCCCAGAAATCACTCATTGACCCATCCGAATTGCGAGCACACAACCCAAGACGACAATGGCATCATCGTCGGGCGACAAGGCTGCTGCTGTTTCTTCCACGGCTGTGCGTCCTCCTCCAGCACTTCCCTGGAAGGTGAAGCTCTTCGTCAAGCTCATGTCCTTCGCGGTGGACCTCAGCTGTCGACCTGACGGCACCGTCAACCGCCGGGTCATGTCCTTGTTCGACATCAAATCCCGTCCCCGCCGCTCCAAACGCGTCTCCTCCACCGACGTCACCGTCGATCCCAGCCGCAACCTCTGGTTACGTCTCTACACCCCAACTTTTTCCACCGCCAAACCCTTGCCGCTCATCTTCTTCTTCCACGGCGGCGGCTTCGCATTCTTGGCTCCCGACTCCAAGCCTTACGACGACTCCTGCCGCCGCCTCGCCGCCGAAATCCCTGCCGTTGTCATCTCCGTCAACTACCGCCTCGCCCCGGAGCATCGCTGTCCGTGCCAGTACGAGGACGGCCTCGACGTCCTTAAGTTCATCGACGGCGGCAAGTGCAATGAAGTCGCCAGGCTGTGCCAGGTTGGTAGTTATTATAATAAGCAAAATTATTATTATTATTATTATTATTATTAATATCAGATTTTCTTATTTTCTCACCCACCAGTAATGTACTGCACTATTAATTATCAAAAAATTATGCATACCCCACCCACCCACCCTAATTAATTAATTAATTAAACCTGCAGGCTGGCACAGTGGAGCTGAAAAGGAGCTTCGTGGCGGGAGACAGCGCGGGAGGCAACCTTGCCCACCACGTGGCGATGAGAGGTGGGTCCCACAAGTTCTCTTCCTTGGATCTGATAGGCAACATATCCATCCAGCCCTTCTTCGGCGGGGAGGAGCGGACGGCGTCGGAGCTGGAGCTAGCCGACGCGCCCTTCTCCACGTGGAAGCGCACGGACATTATGTGGAAGCTGTTTATGCCGGTGGGGTCGGACAGGGACCACCCGGCGGTGAACGTGTTCGGGCCGAACGGCGAGGATGTGAGCTCGGTGAAGTTCCCGCCGACGGTGGTGTTCGTGGGCGGGTATGACCCGCTGAAGGACTGGCAGAGGAGGTACTGTGAAGGGCTGAAGAGAGCAGGGAAGGAGGCGAGGGTGGTGGAGTACGAGAATGCGATTCATACCTTCTACGCCTACCCGGAGGTGCCGGAGTCGGACCGCTTTGTGGAGGAGGTCCGGAATTTCGTCCGCGACCCAATCGGGTTCTGTTCAGCCGACCAACAGTAGTGAATTGGGTAGAGAATTGGGCAGCCTCTCTCGATCGTGGCGTGCGTGCTGATGTAGTTTTTAATCACATAAAATTAATAACAAGTTTAATGAATAACAATCTGAATTGGTGAGGGGCTCTTTTAATTATGCACATGATCTGGCAATTCCATGTGTTGCCTTAAGACACGATTAACTTGCTCTGAATAATGAAGATAGATAGATAGCTAGCAAGGGCATGAGATGAGGTGTTGTGGAGCCGATGGATGTGGTCTCTAAACTCCACATGCATATTCAATTGCTCTATTTATGAATTTGCCAACCCTTTATAGTTTATATAGGCTGGCCTTTTTATAATGAAAATGTCACGTGAAGTTTGGATATCCCTTCAATGTCGTACACTTTCCAGCAACTCAAATATATCTTTCGATTACGTCAATACACATTCACCAGATCCCCAACAACAACGCCGAGCCCGCGGCCACCGGTGAATCCGTCGATCCCCTCGTCGGAAGGCTCGAGGACGCCATCCACCGCATCATCGTCCGCCGCGCCGCCCCCGATTGGCTGCCTTTTCTCCCCGGGACTTCGTACTGGGTTCCTCCCGCTAGATCTACTGTCGGATCCTACGGGATTGCCCAGCTCGTTGAGAGGCTTGCGAATCCATTGACGGATGAGGAATCGCTCTCCGGTACCACCGTCCGCGGTTGGCCTTTCTCGGATTATTTCATCAAAGATCACTATGGCAGGGCAAAGATGGATCGAACTTGAGTCTTTGATTCTTTTCAGTTGATTCCCCTTCCAATTCGGCATTGAGGGTTTTCAACTTGGAACGGGAACACTGAGGTTAAGTTTTCGTTTTTCCCTCTTTACTGGTGCTAGGTTTGTAGTCTCTCTTTCCAACTTTGACCTTCCACGGATCTTTCTTTCCCTTTGATTAATTGGAAATGTGGATCAGAAGGTGGAAATGACCACCTTGATTTAGTTCAGAGAATGGTATTTCCCTTTACTCAACTCGTTCGAGTGACGACGCTTTGTGATTATTCAATCCTATGGATTGCCTCTTACTCCCTAATTTGGGTTAAGGATGATCTGTAAATATTGTGTATTGTCTTTAGATCCTGTAATCTGTTTATGCGAGATTGCTCCCTCCCTTTGAAACGGCAAACTCCTTTGAGATCGATCTCGTCCTGGGTTCTTTTCCGGTGACCGGTACCCGCCCTTGCCCCATCGGAATTTTGGTATTCCGGGTTTTTTTGAAATTTTTGAAAAACTGCTTTTCAGTAATAAATTTCAGCTGATCTAGTGCATTAATTCTGGCCTAATTTTCTAGTTGATTAGTAGACAATGTGGTCTTCTCTTTCCAAGGGTAAATACACTAGTAATTTATTGTCCTCTTAATTGATTCTCTTGATTTTCAAATTAATCTTGCTGTAGTCACTGATGTTTTTAATTCCATTAATTGATTGCGCTGGTGTTTTTAATTCCATTAATTAAGCCTGCAATTGTCTTGGTTTTTATTACTTTATTTTCTTCCTTTCAATTTCCTTTTATTAGCTAGGCGGTTTCTCCTCCTTTTTTTTGTATTTTAATTGCTCTATTGATTAATTGGCCCCTTTTGCGACATTAGTTAGGCTTTCCCCTTATTAAATTGGTCTTTAAGTTTTCTCTATTTTTTATTTGAAGTTGCCGTTTTTTTCATTTTGATTTTGTTTTTTTTACGTTCAGTAATTATTTTTTATTCAATTTTCCTACTTCCTTTCTCTGTTCCGATTAATTTTCCGTTTACCTTCCTGCTCTCTTTATTCCTCTTTCCATGCCTATTTGTTCATTTATTTTATTTCTGCATTTCAGGTTAGTATTTTATATTTATTTTCTTTTGTTTAATTTTTTTTTGTCTGAGCGCATCTTCAGCTTGTGACGATAGCAAGTCTCGATTTATCTCTTCAATGGCTATTTAGTCTTTTTAAAGAATTCTCAGGGATGGCTAGAGGCTCCGTCAACTTCTAGGTTATGGAACTTTTTCAATTGATTTTGTTAAGTCCTATTATGGTATTATTAATGCTTACTAATAATATATTGATTGTCACATGTCGTGGGGATTCTCAACTGGTCAGGACCCTACATCAAGGAAGTCTTCCCTTTTTGGAGCCGGAGCCATTTACAGGGAAGTTTTTTCTCTCTTCCTGTCCCCGTGTCAGTTTCGTGTCTTTTCGCTCCTTGGAGCTTTCTTAGAGCTGCCCATTAATGACATAACAAGCTCTTTTATCGGGAGTCCGGTTGCATACGGACTACCGTTCTTTATTATTATATATTTTGTATTCCTGTTGTCCGGCCATGCCCGAGGGGCTTATCTTGGATAAAAAAAAATATATCTTGACAGTAAGCTGTAACTGCAAATGACAAAAGAAATAACGAAAAAATAAAAGTAAAGAAAGTAAAGAAAGAAAATTAAATTTAATACTAAGAAATTACAAGTTACATTCATCTAAAGATTAAGAACACGATTAGGTTAAGGAAAATTATTTTCGTATTTTACTTCTACAGAATCCTGCCGAGTGCCGAGTAGTTGCGAAGGGATGGAAAATCCAGAGTGGCAAAGGCGAGCTCTCAAACAACAATGGCGACAATCAGCATCAAAGATCATCGTCTCCCCTACGATACCTATAATCTGTACGACGTCACCTTCTTCACCGACGAAATCCACACCCTCGTCACCCAAATCCCCGGTCCCCTCCACCAATGGATCCTCGAAACCATCCACCACCAGCAGCAGCGGACCTCCAACTCATCTGCCGCTGCAGCCGTGCAAGTGGTGGTTGGCCTGGACGTGGAGTGGCGCCCCAACTTCAGCCGCAACAGCGACAACCCAATCGCGACCCTCCAGCTCTGCATCGGCAACAGGTGCGTTATCTTCCAGCTCATCCACTCCCCCTCCATCCCGCAATCCCTCTTCGATTTCCTCCGGAGCAAGGACTATGTCTTCGCTGGCGTCGGAATCCACAGCGACGCGAGGAAGCTGTTGAAGGATTACGGGCTGAAAGTGGCGAACGTGGTCGACCTGAGGCTACTGGCGGCGAAAACGCTTGGAGTGAAGGCGCTGAAGAACGCGGGACTGAAGCAGCTGACAAAGGAGGTGCTGGGGAAAGAGATTGCGAAGCTCAAGACAGTACAGATGAGCAGGTGGGACAACTTTTGGCTCACTCCTCCCCAAGTTCAGTATGCCTGCCTTGATGCCTTCTTGTCTTGTAAGATTGGGGAAACTCTCATGGCTACCGCAGCTGGTAGTGGTGGTGCTTAGTCCCGTTTTTTCTACTGGAATTTGAGGTTAAATATGACGTGGGGCTTAGTGTTTTCCAATGCCGTGATTGTGAATGAATTCGAATCATGATTGAAGTGTGAATGAATGTGTGTGAATTTTTCTTACTTCACAGTTCACTGGATGCAGTTTGGGAGGGTTTTGTTTGTTCTTCCATAAGCTTTCTCGAGTCATTAATTAATTGTCTTGGCGGTCCAATCATAACACAAACACTTTGTCAGTAACTTGCTTTCGTGCGATGATCACTCTATGAAGATCTTGCTCGAGTTCTGATAATCTTCCCGTTTGAAGTAAATAAAGAATAAGGGTTGTCTTCGATCAAGAAAAAGAAGAAGGGCTATCCCCATTGGCTTACCTACATCACATATTGATGCTGAAGAATCCGTTTTTTTTTTTTGGTTGGCGTTCCCTCCCTTGGCTTGCAGTGCATGCATAATTTTCTTTTGGGGAAGCCCAACCGCTTCCTCTTCCACTTATGAAAAAAGGGAAGAGAGCCGGAACTGCTTGCCTCTTCCACTACTTCATCTCTCAACTGATACAAGGAAGTAGTATCCGTTTAGTATTGAGGATAATCGTCTTCTCTGTCACAATCTCCTTCGTTTAACCACTCTCTCTCTTCTATTCTCTGCCTGTCTCTTCAGTACATCTCTCATTTTGCTATACATATTATCTGAGCTCTATTCGTAAGAGAAAGGAGAAACAGAGGAAGAAGAAGGTATGAGTTGAAGGTTTGGACTTGATAGACAACTAATGTAGAATTCGTTTGTGCTCTTCTTCTGAGTTTTAACTGCTTTATGCAGGAAGAACCACGACCTGCAGTGGACTACTTTTTATGTAACGAGATAGCAAATACAGTAAAGACTTTTTTGTGAGGATGAGGCAGGTAAGTACCTCTAAAAAAGGTGTCATCCATGAAGATCTTGCTCTAGTTCTGGCACAAGTTGAAGCAGAGCTTGACAAGTTTAAGGATTTACCTGATGGTGACACCATTCTCTTTGAGAAAGCGAAATGGAAGGTATACTTATTTTGTTTCCTATGTTTTTGGTTTCTCACTTCTCCACGGTTTATGAGCTGGATACATCTAACTCATTTATGTGTTCTGTGCTCTCTGTATTCCTACGTTTCCTTTCGACAACAATACCAGATTCTTCTTAGTGAGAACTTTAGGGCCTCATTTAAGAAGCTGGACTCCTCTGAGATGAAGAAGTTGGTGCTCAACCTATTGCTGAGGCTTTCCTATGGATTGAGACCTAGAAAAAGGAAAATAGATATAGTCTGTGAGAACTCAAAGCAGATTCTCAAGCATTTCCGTGTTAGAGATGTGTATGTTTTATGCTCGATTGACATCGTAAAGGACTCGGGCTTGTGTAACCAAGTCCTAAAGATCTGGGATATAATGCCATTGGTGGACGTGCCGGTTTTGGCTAAACGACTTGATGCTATCTACGCATTACACTCCGAAGGGTATTTGAGTCGTTGTAAGGAAAAGTCCTTTGAAGGGTAAGCATGTATTAACGGTATAAAGTGATATTTTTTATCTGTCAGGTACTCAGTTTTCCTTTCTTCAGCGTTTTAACAGTGTTACTCTTGGTAACAGCTTTCTGGAGGTTCCCAAGAGTTGGGATCATGAGGTTGCTCATTACAAGAGCACTAATAATGCCGAAGCTGGAGTTCATCCCAGTGGCGATGCATCTTCTGAGAATAACAGTAGTGATAGTTTGATGCTTATGAAATTCTATTCTTTATCTTCTGGCATCATCTGGCACTTGCTTTCTGGATGTGATGGTCAGGAAGTGGATTTCCCATTTGAGCTCTCAGACCAAGAGAAGGAAATAGTTCAATTTGGTAAGAGCTCCTTCGTACTAGGTAGGTCAGGCAGTGGGAAAACCACAGTGTTGGTTATGAAGTTATTTCAAAGGGAACAGCTTCATCACATTGCTCTTCGAGGATATCATGAGCAAGGCGATGCAGTAGAAACTGACGAACAAAATGTGCTGAAACAACTGTTTGTGACAGTAAATCCAAGGTTGTGCCACTTCGTCAAGCAGAACATTTCTCGCCTGAAAAGGTAAAGATGATTGTTAATGCGCAGGCTACAGATTTAAATATGTGTGCCATGATCTTGACCCTCTTCTTTCTTGTTGGCTTTTGTGCATACAGATCAACTTGCGGATGGAACCTGTCTGCTGAAAGCTGTGAATTTGATCTGGAGGAAATTGACGAGACATTCCTTTCTTCGGACTTCCCAGATTCTTTTGTTGATATTCCACCAAGTTTCTTCCCCCTCGTTATAACTTTTAAGAAATTCTTACTAATGCTCGACTGCACGATGGGATTCTCATTTTTTGATAGATTTCCTGAAGCCAGGGCATGTCAACCTGAGAAAAGGAAGAACTCTATGTCCTTGACTTTGCAAACTTTTATCAGGACAAAGGAGGTCAATTATGAGAAA